CGAACACTACTGGTGGCGGCCCTCTTCTCCCAAGCTCCACAGTTTGGCCTTGTACAGAGTGATGTCGCTGTAGACCGTGAAGTGGTTCAGCCTGCGGTCTTCGCGTTCCGGGCTGACCTAGAGGGGAGGATGCGGGCGGCAGAATGAAGCTGTGGGAAGGGCGAGGGACCTGGACTTGACTGTGGCCCCGGTCTCCTGATGTGCGGCCCCTGGTGCCTTTCCTTGCTAAAGCCTGTTTGTGAAATGAAAGTGACATTTGCATCAAAAGACTTGCCGGATTGTGTGAGAATAACCTTTGCAGAGTCGCTGCACTGCCTTTCCCACAGCCTGCAGTAGAGGCTTATGAACTGTTTTCTCGACTGGCAGGGAAGCTCCATGAGGTTAAATGCTGCATCTGTGCCCCAGCACCTGGAGCAGTGTCCAGCACACACCTGGGACTCAGTACGTATTTGCTGAATAAAGGATGGATGTTGTTGAAGTGCTTACACAGGGAACTGAGTATGAATGAGCCCCCTCACATGTAATCTCACCGTGCAATTAGCTTAAAGGATACACTTCAGCAAATGTCACCAGGAGACCAGAAGCTGAGGTATTCACTGAGTGTGGCTTCCCGAGTTTCCCAGTATTGGGGTTGGGGTTCTCTCCCTGTGTTGGGCGAGGTCCAGTTGGGGCTGAGCAAGACTCTTCTGCCTCCAACCACAAAACCCTGAAACTCCAGCTTAATTACCTTTTATGGTCGACCTACCTCTTGGTCTAACGTTTTCTGTGTGTGCTTTTTTATTTTTTTCCCACCAGTGCCACCTGATGGCATTGTCCCCAGGTTTATGATGAACGGGCTTGGTATATTTCCAGAACCTCTGCAACTCCATAGTGATGAGTGACCTAGGGGCCCACGTAGTCAGTTATCTGCAACACCTAGGAGGGTCTGAGCAGGGCAGGGCCATCCGAGCCGGTCTCACTTCTTCCTGTCACAGCTGGTGGGTCTGCCATGACATGTGCTGGTCAAAGTGTGACATTTCCACATGCATACTTTGTACCTGTGGCAGCCAGGACTTTTCTCTTTAAGAAAATGAACCCATGCACTTATGGTCAATTAATCTACAACAAAGGAGGTAAGAATATACAATGGAGAAAAGACAATCTCTTCAATACTTGGTGCTGGGAAAATGGGACAGCTACCTGCAAAAGGATGGAATTAGAACATTCTCTAACACCACATACAGATATAAACTGAAAATGGATTAAAGACCTAAACGT